TTTCCCTCCCTGCCACCCACCCATCGCCATTCCTTCTGTGTCTCTCTTTGGGTTTATGTCTCCTTCTGAGTCGCAGGGTCTGTCTACCTCCCTCTCGGATCCCTGTCTCATTCCAAAGCGGTGAGCTTCGATGGAGATTAAACAGAGATGTCTGTCTCTCGCCTTCTGTATCTCGGTCCCTCTCCCTCAGCCACTTCATTTTCTTCTCCCACCACCTTCTTCTGCCCTTTTTGGGATTCCCCCAATCCTAACACCTGCTCTCTGGGGTGTTCTGGGCCACCAGGACCCTCAGATCATTCTCTGTCAGTCATTACAGCCTCCCCTGCACCCGAGGCTCACAACACAAAGGTCTCGTTCCACACAGGGTTTAGCGTGGCTTTCACCGTCCGGGTCTTCTGTTTTGTCAAATTCCGAGGATCTGGGATGAGCTTCAGTTTCACATAGGGATCAGACAGACCATTGGGGTCCATTGGGATGAGGTTACGGGCCTCGCCAACTGAGCGGGGAGGGGAAGGAAGGTAGATGGGGTTAGAGGTCCAGGAAGAAGCCCCTGAGACTTCCCCCAGCCAGCAATCAAGAATTCCAGTCTCTCAGCAGCCTCTCTCAAGAACCAGGTGTTTTTGATCTTTTACTTCTCCAGTGCCCAGAAGACAGGGCATGAAGCCCTTTCCCCAGCCAGTGACCCAGAAATCAAACCCAAAGCCCCTGGCTCCATTAGGACACAGGAGTCGGGACCCTGGCCATAATCACCACTAGTAAACCCGAACCTCCTTCGGAACCAGCTCTTCTCTCATTCCCCATCCCCCACCCCTCCACCCCCTGGACCTTGATGCCCAGAACAGCCGTTAAGAGGCGCTGAAAGTCGCCAGAGGCATGGCTGGAGAAGGGGCCTCGAGCTAGAAGGGGCGCGGCCGAGTGGTGTTCAGCTTTTGCAGGTGGGGTCAGGAGTATGGGTGCGACCTTCGCGAGGGGCGTGGCCTTTCTGAGTCCGGGGGAGGGGCGGGGTGGGCAGCTCAGGGGAATTCAGTCGGTTCCTCACGCTCCGGTAAAGGGGCGGGGCCAGGCGAGGGGACGGGGTCTCACCCGTGATGTGGATCTCATCCGAAGTGGGAGCCCGGATTTCCAGCTGCAGGCGGCCGCGGCGCTCCGTGTGGTCCACACCGCACAGAGAGGGCACGCTGCGCACACAGCGCCGGTGCACGTTCATCTCGCAGCCTGGGGGGACAGAACTGAGGGTAGCACTTCAGGTCCCGCCCTTAACCCCAGACTCCATTCCCCAGCATTTACCGGAAACCCAGACACTGCACTTTTGCAGGGGCCCCGGAAGCGCCAAGTTCTGGCGGGCGCAGCAAGTGTAGACTCACAGGAGCACTTCATGCCCTGGTGCACCAGCCCGTAAAGGAGGGAGCCACAGTGGTCGCAGAAGGTGGGGCTGCTGTAGCTGTGCAGACGGAACTTGTGCTTGTTCCGGGGATCCTGGGGGCAGGGAGGAGCCGGTCAGAAGGGGTCTGCAGGGCATCCTAAAAGAACAGCCCCCTGAACTCTTTCTCTTCCGCCCTGCTCTCCCGTCTTCCTGCGGCTCCACCTCACTCATTCACTCTACAATATTTATTGAGCACCTCCTGTGTGCCAGCACGGTTCCTGGTGCCGGGACCCAGCCCTGAGCAAAACAAAGGAAAACTCCTGTCCATGTGGACTTTACTTTCTAATGGAGGGAGAGAGAAAATAAACACGATATGTGAAATATATAGTATTACAGATGGTAATAGGTGCTCTGGACAAAAACGAAGTAGGGAAGGGGGTTGTGAAATAGAGTGATCAGGGCAGGTTTCACTAAGAAGGTGGCATTTGGGAACAACCTGAAGGAAGTGTAGGCTTCCAAAGTCCCAGAGTCCCTAATCCCCAGCCTTCCACAAGCTGTTCTCCCGAGGACTTGTGGGCCACCATGAACCTCGGATCATTCACTGTCAGCCTCTGTCAATGTCTACCTGCTGATGATCTGCCTACTCTGAGCCCCCTGTGGGATGGAGAATATGACCGCTCAGTTTTAGGGACCCAGGTGTCCTAAATGAAACATTAAGTGTAAACAACAGAGCAGTGTCTGGCATGTTAAATGTGCTCAACAGTGTTACTGCTGTCATTACTGCCATGGTTATTATTAGTGATTTTATTGCAGTCCCCACATACCCTTGGGTTTAATCAAGAGCTGGGCCTGGGTTTCCCTGGTGGTGCAGTGGTTGAGAGTCCGCCTGCTGATGCAGGGGACACGGGTTCGTGCCCGGGTCCGGGAAGATCCCACATGCCGCAGAGCGGTTAGGCCCGTGAACCATGGCCACTGAGCCTGCGTGTCCAGAGCCTGTGCTCCACAACGGGAGAGGCCACAACAGTGTAGAGGCCCGCGTACCGCAAAAAAAAAAGAGCTGGGCCATTTCCCAGCTGCGTGATTTCAGACAAGTAAGTGCCCAATTCTGAGCCTCAGCGCCCTCCTCTGCCCAGTGGAAATAAACAATGTACATCTTGAAGAGATGCTAAATGTCGAGTCCAATTAAGCATGAATTTAAGACACCAATTCCTCCTTCCACCCTCAGCAATGTCTGAGTGTTAAATAATCTGATATTTGCCTTTTTCTAAGAATGCCTTGCAAGAGTTATCCCTAGGGTGAAAATTCAGGACATTCTAGGGCTTTTACTTATTTTGCAGTTTAGTGGGGATTCTATTTTGAATTATACTTGGACGGAGGGAGGGTGTTGGTAGTTGCATGTGCTGGACCTCTAAAGATCTTCATCTGACCCTAGCTCAAAGTGTTCCTGCCGCATGAAATGAGATGCTGTGGGTGAAAATTCCCAGCAGGGTACCTGACATAGAAGCTGTTGCGATTATTCTCAAGGTGAAAGTAGCTATTAAAAAGGAGACAGTACTGTGGCTCCAGTTCGAAAGATTAGGGTCCAGATTTTTGACTCTCCCGACCACCCAGCTGTGTGGCCTCCCCCCACACCACCCTTTTTAGAGACTCAGGTTTCCTCCCCATAAAATGGGACCATGAACCCTCCGTGAAAGGGTTCTTGTGAAGACTGAATGAAATCATGCTTGTCAAGCCCTGAGCATTTCTTAAGCCCTTGATCTGTGTTGCTGACAACAAGATTAAAAGCTTAGTGCTTCACAAAGAAAAAGAAAGCCAGAGTGATATAGAGGAAAGAACTTGTCCTCTGTTTCCTCATCAGTAATAGTAATAATTTTACAATGATAATAATTAATACTTTGTGTCTATGTACCAGGTGCTGTCCCAAGTATTTGACTCATTTAGTCCTTAAAACAGTCCTTAAGATGAGGGCATGGTTACCATCCCCATTGTATAGACAAGGAACTCCAGAGGTGCAGAGAGGTAAATAAACTTTTGGAAGGTCACAGAACCAATACGCGGTGGAGGTGGGATTCAAGCCCAGGTGTCCTGGCCCAGGAGCCTCGGTCAGATGAGGACAGAAACAATACCTAACCTTACAAGCTGTTAAGCAGATTCAGTCCTATACTATATACAAGATACCTGGTGAGTGCATGCAATGAGCCCTGGATGAATCAGATGTAGTGTTTGTTGGTGGCGGAGGCAGGCAGGCGAGGCAGCCAAGTCATATATAGGTGCTGGTAGACAGTGGTGCTCGATATGTGTTCTCAGAAGTCACATCCTCTATGTAAACTTCAATTTTCTTGACCTGACAAGCTGGCAAAATGCCTCATGGACTTCCGTGGTGCTCTCCCTCTCTCTCTCATTCTGCCTCTTTCTCCATCTGCTAATCATAAAACCATCTCCAGCCCTGTGTCAGACCCCGGGCTCCTATCCTGCCTGACTTCCCTGAAAACAAGCCTGGGCGGGGTGGGGAGTGGGGGGCTTCCCGGGCTTCCCTGGTGGCGCAGTGGTTAAGAATCCCCCTGCCAATGCAGGGGACACAGGTTCGAGCCCTGGTCCGGGAAGATCCCACATGCCGCAGAGCAACTAAGGCCGTGTGCCACGACTACTGAGCCTGCGCTCTAGAGCCCACGAGCCACAGCTACTGAGCCCACGTGCCACAACTACTGAAGCCCGCAGGCCTAGAGCCCATGCTCCACAACAAGAGAAGCCACCGCAATGAGAAGCCCGCACACCGCAACGAAGAGTAGCCCCCGCTCGCTGCAACTAGAGAAGGCCCGCGCGCAGCAACGAAGACCCAACGCACCCAAAAATAAATAGATTAAATAAATTAAATATAAACAAGACTGGGGGCATCTAGACTCATGCTGTCCCACATGGTAGCCCTAACCACAGGTGGCTACTTAAATGGAAATCAGTGGATAAACAACAAGTTCCTAATGTATAGCAAAGGGAACTATATTCAACATCCTGTGATAAACCATAATGGAAAAGAATATTAAAAAAGAATGTATATACGTGTATAACTGAGTCACTTTGCTGCACAGCAGAGATTGGCATAACGTTGTAAATCGACTATACTTCAATTAAAAAAATAAATAAATTGAAATCAATTCAAATTAAATGGGATTTAAATTTCTGTCCCTCGGCAGTTAGCTGTGGTGGCTGGCAGCTGGATGGCAAAGATACAGAACGCTTCCATCATTGCAGAAAGTTCTATTGGTCAACACTGGACGGTGAGCCTCATTATATAGAGGGGGAAACTGAGGCTCAGAGAGAAGAGCCCCACAGCCAGAAAGAAAGTGAAGGAGGGATCAGGGGTAGGCATGCAAGGTGGACAGTTCTTGTAAGCCCCTGATGTTGGGGGGCGGGGGGAGGGAGAGAACGGTTGTGTGTATCTGTGTGAGCGCACATGGGGGATCTGTACATGCACGTGTGTGTCCATACACGGGGGTCTAATATGCATATGTGTGTGTGTGTGTGTGTGTGTGTGTGTGTGTGTGTGTACACAGGGGTCTGTATATGTGTGTGTGTGTGTGTGTGTGTACGTGCAAACAGGCAGGGTGTCTGAAAATGCACATGTATGTGCATGTATATGACAGGATCTCTCTGGGCTTCCCTCTCTCAGCACCTCCTAAGCAGTTATCCTTATCTACCATTTTCTATTCTAGTTTCCCTTTCTGGGTATCTACCGCCCTGTCTCTCTGAGTTTCTGTGTCTCTGTCTCTCCCAGTCTTTCTGGGTCCCATTTTCCTTCCTCCTGTGTCACTGTCTCTGTTCCATTGCTCTCACTCTCTCTGCCCCAATCTCTCTGCCTGGGTCTCTGTTTTTTTCTGCACCTCTGGGTTCTCTCTCTGTCTCATCTCAGGATCTCGGTGCTTGCATCGATTTCTCTCTCTGTCTCTCTGTCTCTGTCTCTCTCTCTGTCCCTCAGCTCTCTATTTTTTAAATCTCTTGACTCCTGGATCACAGCCCACATCCGTGCTGAGGTCCCCTCACCCCGCCTCCCCTTTGTTCCCCGCCTGGGTCCCCAGCCTGTCTTGGTCCCCTCTCATTCCCCCTTTCCAGGCCAAGGGCAGGGAATCTGGGCCAGACTAGCTCTCCCTATCTCTCCAGCCCCCCTCCCCTCTCAGCCTTAAAAATAGCAGGAGAAATTGGGACGGACGCCGAGGGGGTGAGGGGGGTGGGCACAGCCCGAGGAGGAAGAACCAGGTGTCTGGGCACTCACGTCCGTCTGGGGGCCCTTCCCAGCGCCTGGACACTCGAAGGTCACAAATTCGTGGCATCGTCGATGAACCACAAAGCTGCAGACTGAAGGTGAGAATCATAGAGACACAGAGACAGAGAGAGACCCCAATGGACAGAAAATCAGAAACAGAGGAGACCCAGACAGAAAGAAAACCAGGAGGAGGATCCCCATAGAGTTCAATACAGAGAAAATCAAAGAGACCTTGACATGCAGAGAGACAGAGACAGAGACACTGCGAGACAGAAATTCAAAACGTGGACCCAAACAAAGAAACAGAGATGCAGAGAATCACAGAAAAAGAGAAAGCACAGAGAGCCCAATGCATACCCACAGCCAAAGGGAGACAGAGACAGAGAGACAGAGAGACAGAGAGAGAGACAAAGACAGAGAGACAGAGAGGAAGACAGAGAAAGACAGAAAGAGATGGAGACAGAGAGAAAACAGGATCCCATTGACACAGACCCACAGACAGCGATAAGAAAGCCAGGAGAGAGGCAGGCCAACTAGAAGAGAGGAAACACAGGGAGAGGTCCTCCAACAGAACAGAGAGCATCAACTTGGGCAGAAGTGAGTCTGGGGGCGCCACTGCCGGCCCGCCCCCCTCCCTGACTCACTCAGTTCTCAGCAAGTAGCAGCTGGTGCTTTAGGACTCGGCCCCCTCTCCCGGCCCCCATAACTGCCGGCCCCACCCGGCCCCCACCCGCCCATCGGTGACCCCACCCGGCCGGCCCCTGCCTAGGACGGTGGTGTTGTTATGGCAACGGCGGGGGGGGGCTCTGACTTTGCATCTCCAGCCCCCCCTCCCTTCAGCTCCCCTTTTCCAAATCTCACTGTTCCCATGGCAACAGATTCTCCAAATATCTGTCCCCACCTGGAGCCGGCCGAGGGAGGGGCCCCCAGCCCGCCCCGGGCTCCCCCGCGCCTCTCTGGGGACCAGAGAACACGTGTGTCAAGCAGCCTAGGCTGTGGGGCCCCAGCCTCCACCCTCCTGAGGGTCCTGGGAGTCCAGGTCCCCAGCTCTTACCTTGACATTGCAGGCCTTGTTTTCCAATCCCCCTGTAAGAGTCAAGGATCTGAGGTCAGTGCAGAAAAGGGTACCTGGACCTCTCACCTCTGCCAGTCATAGGAGGCCTCCGTCCTCCCATCCTCCTCCTGCAGGACCCAGGAGTCTGAGCCCCAGCTGCCTCTCCTTTCCAGAACCCAGAAATTCTGGCTCCCCAGTCTCTCTTCTCTCAGACCCAGGAGCCCAGGCCCCCAGCCCCTTCCTTCAGACCCAGAAGTCCGGGACCCCAGTCCCTCCTCTCTCTGATCCAGGAGTCCAGGCCCAGGACCCTAGACCCCACCTACCCTAGGGCCAGGAGCCAGGGCTGCAGCCCCCTCTTTCCTCATCACTGTGGGGTCTGGTGCGTCAGGGGTCTTTAGCACTAGTCTCCTTATCCCTCAGGGCCCCAGCCCCCTTCCCTCACCATATGAAGTCAGTGCAGTGGCTGCAGAAGGTTGGCTGCTTGAAGAAGCGAGCGGTGAACTTGTGGCTCTTGACTTCGTGGACCACCTTCTGCCTCAGAGCCCCCTTTCTGCAAAACAGGGGCCGGGGTCCCCCCTCTGAATCGCCTCCGCCGGGGCCCAGGCCTGCCATGGCCCCAGTAACGTAGCAGGGACCAGGATCCTGCCTTTCTCGGGAAACAGGTGGAAAGGCAAGGAGCCGAAGGCTCGGAAG